ATGCGTTATCCAGTAATGAATGGACTTAGCACGAATTGTGAAATATTATGAGTTTATTTGTTATAGCCTTACGTATACATATGAATTTGCTGGTTTATGCCAGAGAAACAACTGATTCGAGGGATTCGACTTGATTGTGTGACGATCTAATGGTGACAAGATGAATTTGACCTATTCACTTTCATAGAGTCCATATGAATGCCGTCTGTTTCGAATGTAGATATCGCTTTTTGATACTGTTAACAAAGATATATCGTAGTACTCATAAATAATTAACTCGGTTGATGAATTTTAATACAAAGAATATAACTAGGAATAAAGCAAAGAAGAGTATGATGATCAGACACTAAATAATTCAATTAAAGGGCAGAGCCGTTAGTACCAGTCATGTTCCTTGTGACCAGTTTTGATCGATTACTGTCTTTGGTCGCACCCATGTCCTATTTCAAGAACGGTTTCCGACTTCAGATCATCCAGGTTTATTTATCATTATGTACAACTGCAATCACTATTGTTATTGATACTTTGATAATTATCAGTAATTGTAAACGTTTATCACTAAATGTTCACTCGAACTATACAATTATATAATGAAAGAGTAGTGAAATCCAGATAACAGTATCGCACGGTATAGTGGCTGCACTTGTGATTGAAGCCTGGATTGAGACGTTACCAGATATTGAGCCAAATAAGGACAATGTTTGCTGGTATATTTTACTTTCATTGCATTTTGTTGATCATTCCAAATGAATGTTGCAAATCAACTCGATGATCACTCCAAAGAGCGATGTATTTGAAGGACAAGCGATGGGATGCGAGCGTCTCACGTAGCAGAGTTCTTTTACATAAGAGTTGTCACGTCGATGTTGAGTGTTGTTCTGTATATTATAGCGTATTTATTGTTGAGAATAAAAACTGCAAAAACTGAGCATTTTGTAAGTTTAATTCAATTATTTCATTGCATTCATTCAACCATAATACTGCCTAGTTAAGTCTTAAAGCGATACGTATAAATATATCCACTTTAGTGAATATTCCGAAGAATTTTATATCGGTCACTACGATAGATGGAATCATATTAGCAAGCGATAAATTTGTAATTAATGACTCCAGATTGAGTTGACTTATGAACATACCATGAGACCAGTGCGGATAAGTACCGAACCAATATGATTACTTTCCAAAATTGCAACAAATAACGATGGTGCATGTGAAGAATGTGCTGAAATGAGTTTTTTCTGATCTGTTTGAAGTGTNTAAATCCTCTCCGAATGAACCGATCCAAGTAATATTCGAATTAAAGGGTCAAGCACAACGCATCTTCGAAGAACGCCAACGTCAGCTAACGCTCACCATGCTGATCTCGTGTTTCTTCACGATTGTCCTCTACGTGATCCCGGTTACAGCCATATTCATCAACGACAGCATCTCAGTCCCAGTACTGAACAGCTTCATCAACTGGTATGCCATCCTCTCGGGTGATACCAATTGTCTCGTCATCATACTCATCATCTATTTCAAACAACCGGATATTGCTAAAGCCATCAAAAGCGTACTAAGACGTCCCTTCACTCAAGTTAAATCCTTTAATCAGTCTGGAGTGATCACTGTTTCTTAGCACTACACCAGACGGGAATTAGGTGCAAACCGAGACGGCAGCGATATGCCAAAAATGGGTTCTCATCGCGAGATTGATCAAGGTTATCGGGGGCCTCTCGTTTTCGTTCAGCTTGATCGGTAGACAATTGAGTTAAGAACTCAAATAGTCCTTGTCCTGGTCCTGAGCCTAACTGCAAGCGTAAGACTAAGCAAAAACCTAAGCGTAAGCTTAGGAGNTCGAGCGACTATCACACAGATATGCTCATATTGACGGAACATATGGTTCAATCAAACTGATGTGAGAGAGCCTTCTCGTTCGGAATTCGAAAAAATTTCGTTCAATTTAGCACTGTGTCTAGGCGAGTGCCTTTATCATATTCAGCATCAGCAATCCCAATACTAATACTAATGGCAATAATTGTTCTCGAGGGAGTAATTGCTTTCCATTGAATGCGCTCACTGGACAATTCAAATCATATCTCCATAAATGAGCATGACCATTCACATGTTCAATGTTCTATATAAACTTAATCTCAGCTAAAAGAACAAATTCATAAGTGTGCGATACAATGCTGATGTATGTATATCTAATATGTATATCCACTCATTTAGTTATATGTTTATAAACATCTACGTAACAGTTTCGACATTTGCCATTATTCAAATCTTGTTGAATGTCTCGTCTCATTTGACTTCGTATCGTGCATCCAACTCGAGTGTATTCATTCATTTGAGATTCAGTGATGATAAAAATCCACTTCGATCTTCGTAATGAATGTAATAAAAGAATAAAAACGCTTAATTCGAATAAGTATTAATGGTTGTATTGCGTGATCGTTGAGCACGAACTCAATTCGAAGCGAAGGTATGACTTCGAGGATGGCTCGTCAATGTTTTTATTATTATTCATCAATGAACATTTATTTTCTTTTTAATATTTTGTTGCATTCGTGAGACCTAATACCGGTGATGACGAATCTCTATTAAACTTCAGTTTTGGCAAATTTTCGGTATTTCAGTGAGTACCGAGTTTCGGAATTGCAACAATTCCCGATGGATACCGTTGGATTACCGTCAAAAACTGTAAAACCAGTGTTGTTTAGGAAAGCCGATATCGGTATATGTGAAATTAGTTAGGTTAATGCGAGCAGATCAAGCACATTCTGTTGGCTGCAAATGAAGCAATCAATAGCACTAGTTCTGCTCGATCTTCACATTAGGACTTCAGAAGTTGGAACAAAAATTCAATTGATTCACATTCATTTGTCATGGGATTGTCGAGCGATTCGAATCGAATAATCAAAGCTGAAAATGAACGACATTTTTGTGAGAGTCTTGAAAAAATCCGAATGAAACACTTGTGTATGAATGCAGAACAAAATCAATAATGCTGCATTATCTTGTCCGATTATGAATGAAAAAGGTGTTGCCAACAGAGCAAATTTATTCTGAATAGACATACAACTCTGCATAACTGCATCTAATTATGTAGGTAAGTTCTTAATGAATTCACAACGATGTCATTCATTTCTAAGTATCACATATGAACACATATATATTCTAGGAATAAGCTCATTTCGTTTGGAATGATTACTGAGAATAAAAATAATGATACTAATAACAATAATGATAGCAAGTAATACCCAGAGTTGCGAGACGTTTCTCTCAGTGCTTATGCATCAGGGTATCATTATTGTCATCATTATCGTTATTATCTCTATTCTTATTCTCGTTATTGTTGAAAAAATGCTTATCTCAGCGCTTCTTCACAAATTCATTCCTGGAACGATTAGTCCGTTTTGTGAGATGATAGCTGGTTAGTTCATTCGTGCATATGAAGCCTTTCGGAGCCTGCGATTCAATTGCACTGCAAAATTCTATCCGTATATGCAGCTAATAGACCTACCTACCGACCTATTCCTTCACTCTACGCTTGTTTGGAAATCAAATTCCAGCCTGTTCTATCTCTTCTCCAGTAAACTTTTCTGAGAACAGGATGTACTTTCCTATCAGCCATTATTCCGTATGAATGAATTGTTGAATAATTGATGCGTGGAACTTTCTATTATTCTCATCACTTCTTTCAGGTCGTTTCATGTTATTCAATTCCGTGTTCGTAAACGCATGTGCTGAATTCTTTTACTGCCTCCTGTTCCATTAATAATATCGCTAACAACATCCTTGTACATGCATAGCTGTTAAATTAATCACAATCCTCAAGTGACACTTCATTTCTTCTCCTCATATCAATTTGATCTGCTCGCAACTAATACCGTTTTCAAATTAAATCTCGAAATATGTATTAAAAGATAATGAATTGCATTGTTATTCACGAGCTGTGTAATGATAATATTCAGTTGTTTTGAATAACAACAACACGAACACACTAAATAAGTTATCGTTATTATTAAATCGAAAATGCTGTCATCATATGAACGTCGCCTGATCTCGTGTAGAAGTAATAATGCGTCGTCGATGTTACTTCGCAATGTTATTCAATCTCGCTCGTTTCGAACGCCTAGAGTGGCGAAGTTGATCGCCGAAAATTTTGATTACCTTGTTTCTATTCCACTCAGGTTTGGCGATTTAATATTATTATTATTGTTATTTAATCTTCTTACACATATGCATACAACAATATCACTTATACACTAACAAAACACTTTGATAAGATTTACGACTTTATATGAAACAGCGTTTTCATAGTGTTTGTATGACTTGAAACCTTCATTCGAGCTGCTTTCAAACTGTGAATTTCAAATTTTCATTCATTTCATTTTTCACAAGAAAATAAAGATTCTATTATCGACACATTGAAATTTTATACATTCATCGTGAGACTTGTTCCGACTAAGAATCAATCAAATGGCGCAAATTAACGTGATTAAGACAATTTAGAAACGTTTGGCTCGGTGAGATAAGAGTTGCAATGATGAAAACGCGAAAAAATATCGCATGAAAACAAGATTAGCAGCTTTGACTACAATTGATCTGTTTGATCTCCAAAGTCGAGCAGACCAGCAGTTCACTTGATGCTATAAAAACAAATCGGAGAGCATGCTACGAACAATCGCATTATCCATGCAACGAAGCATAAGGGACTTCGTGGAATGAGTCACGGATATTTTTGTTATTGAAGAATCAGAAAAAATCGCTCGCGACTCACGCAACTTCATCTTTTCATCCCACAGCTGAATTGTATATATATAAACCTTTCCACCTGCTCTTCAACCCCCGAGTTGCATATTCCGCTCCTCGTTCTCAACTTTTTCCTTTCATCAAACACCAAAATGCTCATTCATCTCTATCGGCTGAGAGATTGCACATTCTCTGGTGTATATAATTGTACCTAAGTGGTACATGATCCATCTTGTCCATCTACAAATCCATCTGTTTTGATTTATCAATTCAGTCGGACTCACATCTCGAATGAATATTCAAAACGCCTTCAATAGATACATAGTTATTTTTAATGAGCTTTGTGCTGAATTCACTATCATTTTACATGTTGACAAATACATTTTAAACATCACTTCTTGCTAGATCACATGTCATGAAATAATTGACAATGAAACTTAAAAGCTATCTTCTTGATGAACCGGATCGTCCAAGTGCCGGAGTTTAAAATCAGATTGTACTTATATTATATGTAAAACTGAGTCATAATATTGCCTGAAAAGTTGAGCTTGCTAAACGTACATACATAATGCTGTCACAAAAGGTTGCTGCACTGGATTATTGATCCAGACAACTCCATTGAGGATAGATACACTAAAAATTACAGATGCAAGCAACTGAATTAATCACATTTGTTCGTAATTATAATATGAAATAGATTGGAATGGTGTATAGGTATAGACTGCGTCCTGCGTCCAAGTAGCCATAGGATGATGATGACGATGCAGTGAAGTGAGTAGTGTCACCAACTTGTAAGTATCTTGCTTAGTAACAAGCCATTGACATGCATGTCAATAACTTGTAACTAGATTGCTAGACAAAAGTGATAGTAGGCATAAACAGATAATATGAAATAAGGATGTGTTTCATGGATCTATATGTGCACACATATATCAAGCTCAAGTGGCCATCAGCCTTTGCAAGCTAGCACCCTCTCGTCCTATTCATTCACCATTTATTGTTATTGTTATCATTTGTAATTGTATCAGCCCTAGTCAGAGTGTAATGAAACTCGCATTAAGCAGACGTATTACTCAGCTGAAATTCATGGATTCTTTTGCTAAAGGTCAGTACGGTAGACCACGTACGCAAAGGTGAGATTTCATTGTTCGAATATTCCAGTGAGACATTTATTTATTCATTCATACGTTCAGCCATTTGATCAAGAAGGTTATTTCAGAGTGATGTCTTGGTTGATAATTATGAGAGAATGTCGTGAGAGATTAATGAATGCGCTTGTAGCACTGCACTTTGATGAACTAATAATAGCTCACTTATGCAGACTATCCGCTTAATAACACGTTACAGGTGTTTAGCACTCAAACTAGAATGTCTATGGAACTATGTAAGCACAAAACAAATCCGATATGACAAAGCTGAATAAATGAGAGTGAACATTTGAAATTGGTCAGTTGAATAGGTTGATAGTGATAGTGATAATGATAGAGAAGATGGGAATGGTACAGATGACTGCTGACGATCTTCAATCATACTGAATAATCATTTTGATCGAATGCATTGATCAAGTGCATTCAGAAAATGAAACTAAATCAAGAAGAAATTCAAAAAATGTGAATGAAAAATTCGAAGAGACGAGAATGATTGATACATTTGCATGGCTGGAATAATAACTCTAATTCAACGCAATAGCCATTTTTTTACTCGAATAATTTTGTGCTCAAATGATTTATGAATATCTTAAAGATTTATTTATGGATATTTTAAAGATTTATTAAAGATTTCTTAAGAGTGATTGTGCAAGTTTTTTACGATAAATTTATGCATGTGCACAACGCAAATTACTTCGTATAGTTCTAAAAGCATTTTCAACTAATTATTTAATATTGATTCTTTGATATGAATAAATGCTTCGTGCTCACATTACTGCTGTTATATATTAGCAGCCTGCTTGCTGTTATTCTCGTCAACATACCTCTCGCTACCTACGAGTGAGTACATATCTTTCAATCCATGCAGCATGCATACGTATTGATAAATCCGGATTATGCATAGACACAACAATATCACAAATCCATAGCCGACTGCTGAGAGGTAAAATATGCAGTGGATGTTTCATAAAAGATAGACGACGTCAGAAATGTATTAGATTTATTTCTTGAATTATTTTACTTACTCATTTGAACGTGACGACGCATGCAGTTCACCAACTGAGATGAAGCAACGGGATTCGCACATGTCCGTTCGACGTGAGCAGTATTATGGATCGTTTGAATTGGTCGTGTCTGTAGATCCGGGTGGTCAGATCCAGAATATTGGTCGATTCCGATTGGAGCCTTCTGCGGATTTGCATTATGTTTGTTACTTTACCATTATTATCTCTTTTTTGCTGGGAGTTAAAGCAGTTTGTTGTATGTACACGCATGCGGATAAGACAACTTCTTTAGTTCGATTCTGTACGTTTCAGGACTGCTCAGTTCCATCGACAAGTCCCGTGATTGTGGAGAATCCACAAGAAGAGACTCGTTGGTATTGGAAATACTTTCTTGGGAATGGTACCAATGAACTTTTCATTTGTTTAGTCAGAATATTCATCTGGAAATGATTCTTTTCAAGCAAATTCTCCATAGTAATAACTCTCTCTTCATAGTAATAACTGTCCAATACTCTCAGAACATCAAAATTTCGCTGGAATCGATCCATCAACAAAATCGCCGTTTTTCATGTCGATTCTGGTCGAGGATGAAACTGAAGGGAATCGCATGTGCCGAGCCATCTTATGGACATCCGAGGTTTTGGCAAACTCAATTATTGTCTGCAAACTGGATCATTTATCAGTGATTATCACTGATATTCTGCGATGACTTATTCATTGAATAGTACTTATAATGATACCGACAATATTAATGATATTGACGATAATAATACTGAATAATAACAACAACATTATGAAGTTCAGGGCCCTCGTCGCCTTTGTTTTCCGGCCTCAAGCGGTTCCAGTCGGACACTCACTGCTAAATCAATTCTACAGTTCGTTGCTTCATTCATTTTTCATCATTTCTATTCTGTTGTTATACTTTCAACTCAAAAAGCGATATAAAATGATAACTTCTATAACTGAAGGCAGTTTCACGGTATGAGCGAATTCAATAGATCGTTGAAAGAGATCGAAAGTGCGAAGTTGCAAAAAGAATTGGTCATACTTGAGGACCAGGAGGGAGGTGTCAACTGTAAATTCGGTGTTGTTTATTCGCTCGGCAATCAAGTTTCTGATACTCAAATGCTCAGCAATGGTTATTTCATATTGACAATTTTTTCATTCATTGCGTTCCACATTTCTATCAGCAGCCAATTTTCATTCGTTTGATTTTCACCCTCCATATCATACGATGATTTACGATTTTATTTCATTTTGCACGCTAATTGCAGAGCATGGTGATGAAAGTTTCGCACAATTTGTCAAACTTCTCGGACAACGAATCGAATTGCAGGATTGGGGAAGTTACAGAGGAGGACTTGATACGACAAGTTATTATTATTATT